GCCACAAGTCCTCAAGCAGGGAGTTCAGACTTCCAGCAAAAGTGATGTTTCCTTCTCATGAGAAACCACAAGGCATGGAGGAAATGGGGAGGGAGGGCAACACATACAGAAGAGGGTGTCAGAGAGAGGGAAAAGGTGTCTTGTATCTTGATAACTGTAGCTCCACTGTATGTGTGGATTAGTTTTCTCAAAGGGAGAGTTACAGTTCTCTCATGAATCTGCTGTTCACAAAACCATTCAGGTGAAGCCATGACAGTTCACTTGGTAGAAATCTGATATATCTTTGTAGTCTAAATATATCCACAAAATACCAGAACTGCTGAAGTTCACCTTCAGCTTCATAGTACCCTTCAAAATTTAACAGGAAGCCACACTGTGAGGTCTGTTAGAGACCTGCAAAGACCTGTTGGAGGATACAAACAATCATGCAGAAGAAAGGCCAATGTAGAGCTGCCAAGTCTTTAAAAATGTTTATGAGTAGTGGGGACATGATGACATGAGGCAAGCTCTTCCTATCCGGATGCAGCAATGACTATCCCTATGAGCCAAAATAATGGGCCAAGATATACCACACTTGGTGCCTTTAGGTTTGGAAGATCAGCAAGCACCACTTCAGCAAATGAAAGCAATATTGCCCACTACTTTTGTTTGAATGGAAGGCACTTAGGGACACTTAGAGACATCACCTTGCCAACAAAGGTCCGTATAGTTAAAGCTATGGTTTTCCCAGTAGTGATGTATGGAAGTGAGAGCTGGACCACAAACAAGGCTGATTGCCGAAGAATTGATGCTTTTGAATTATGGTGCTGGAGGAGACTCTTGAGAGTCCCATGGACTGCAAGAAGATCAAACCGATCCATTCTGAAGGAAATCAACCCTGAGTGCTCACTGGAAGGACAGATCCTGAAGCTGAGGCTCCAATACTTTGGCCACCTCATGAGAAGAGAAGACTCCATGGAAAAGACCCTGATGTTGGGAAAGATGGAGGGCACAAGGAGAAGGGGACGGCAGAGGACGAGATGGTTGGATAGTGTTCTCGAAGCTACTAACATGAGCTGACCAAACTGCAGGAGGCAGTGGAAGACAGGAGGGCCTGGCGCGCTCTGGTCCATGGGGTCACGAAAAGTCGGACACGAATAACAACAGCAGCACTTTTGTTTGAATGGAAGCCAGTTACGGACACATCCAGACAAGGAAGCAGACCTGAAAAACATGGTGCCTACTCGGGATGAAAAGCACTCCAACGGAACAACAGCAAGAGAAGAAGAAGAAGAAGAAGAAGAAGAAGAAGAAGAAGAAGAAGAAGAAGAAGAAGAAGAAGAAGAAGAGTTTGGATTTGATATCCCGCCTTTCACTCCCTTTTAAGGAGTCTCAAAGCGGCTAACATTCCCCTTTCCCTTCCTCCCTCACAACAAACACTCTGTGAGGTGAGTGGGGCTGAGAGACTTCAAAGAAGTGTGACTGGCCCAAGGTCACCCAGCAGCTGCATGTGGAGGAGCAGAGACGCGAACCCGGTTCCCCAGATTATGAGACTACCGCTCTTAACCACTACACCACACTGGCTGCAACAGCTTTAGTGAATGCTTTGAAGGAATAAATGTCTCTGCAATTGATGTCTAAACAGAAGCATATGAATGGACATATGGATGGACATTCTGGAAGCAAAGTTTGGGATTTAAAAACAAAGGTGGAGGATAATGAAACAATGATCCATTCACATGGACATCAGAAATCTGTTTGTGCAATGGGACTTTTCATTTCTTTTCTTCCTCTGCCAGATCCTCATTCCCCCCCTAAAAATCTGATCTGGAGGGTTCCCCAACCCTTTGGAGCACCTTTTGAGGTTCTGCAGGGGATGCAAAGGGAGGAAAGGAAGTCCCATTGCTCAAGGGAGTGTTCTCCACTCGAGTACATCCATGACCTTTAATTTCTAAAACAGATTATTGACTCTAGAAAACTGGCTAATCCAAATACCAAAGCTAACTGCTGAAACTAACTGCTGCTTGAAGGCAAGCACTGAAACAAATTGCTGAACTGTCCATTTCACCATTTTTTTGATGAAATGACTCATTCATTGAAATGAATTTTTATCAGCTTAATCTGATACACTATAACCTTACAGGGCTGGAGGTAGTCTTGTGTCCATTATCCATGATCTTCCTGTTAGATTAACTGAAGTGAGTTATGCGTGGGGTGACTTTGAAAAAGTACAGAAAGTTCCGCATGGGGTATCAAGGCTCTTAAAGGGCTTGTGGACAATTTCACTATATTGCACTAGTGATTTATTGTCTACTCCTTAAATGGCCTGGGAGCAGCTTACCTCAAGGATCACCTCCTCCCAGGTCTACTTACCTGGACCCCGATATCATCATCAGAAGCTCTCTTCCAGTACTCCTGGATTCAGGGTCTTATAGGTGGTGACAGCCTAGTTATGAAATGCCTTCCCTGGAAAGGCCCACCTGGTGCCATCTTTGTGGTCTTTATTGTCCGAAGTTTTAAAAATGAAACTTTGAATTCACAGGGTTTTAGATGTGTGCTATATATTTTTTAGTGATGTTCTATATTCATCTTCATATTGTCTTATGCTTTGCTATTGAAACTGTTGCTTTTTAATGCTGGAATGTGGGGGCTGCTTCTATTGAGATATATTTTATTGATTAAATGTGTTTGCCCAGAGCAACACAAAGTGACTTACAACCAGCCATTAGTGCACTTTAGGGAGCAATCCTATGTTTCTTAGAGGGCATCCCAGGGGCCTATGAAGTGGGGAATTCACCATGCCCTGGTTCTCTTTTGGCAACATCTCTTCCCTCATCTCTTCATTAAACTTTAGGAAGCAGTTGTGCACACTTCCGGCTTGCTGCATTCTGAGGCCTTTTCCTCCTCTTAGCCAGGTGACCTCTGCATCTTCCTAGGGCTGAGCACTATGGGAAGCAGCTCCTCCTAACCCACTTCTGTCTGCCATGACCACAAGAGGTGAATGTCTCACCTTGTCAAACCTATTTTGCTCACACACACTCTGACACACATGTTGCCTGTATCTCGTCTTCCTGCTCCTCTCACAGCTGATAAGAAGGGACACACTCTGCCAAGAGGGTGGCAGTCTAGGTCACTCAGCTACAACAGCCGTTCACCAGTGCAGCAAACGGAAGAGGGGAAAACTTCTATTCTGGCCACCTGAGCATTTGGGACCACAGATGTGATCATGAATCCACTACTCCACTGCTCTCTAACCATAGTTTTGATTGCTGTCCTTCAGGACTCAGAAGAAAATAACATATCCATTCATCAATCCCTATATGGCAGGAGCAGGGAAGCGATTCTGCCCCAAGGGGTAAATTGGAATGTGGCCAATCTTCCATGGGTGGATGGGGCCAAAAGCAGAATAAAAATCCAAATAAATAAATAAATAGAAATAGAAAATAAATAAAATCCACAGGCACACACATAGAGAGAGAAAGAGGCAGGCAGACAAGTATACATGCACGCATTCAGAAAGCCAGAGATCCCTTTCCCTAACCTTTAAGAATAAAAAACAGCTTTTTACTCTCCAAGAGCAAGCAGAGTCTTTTCTCTGGTTTCAGCATTGTGCAAAGATTGAAGGTAAGTGAAATGCTGCCTGCACTGTAAGAGTAAAAGAATTTGCAACCTCCTCCACCACACTCCTGGAGTAGGAATATGTGCAAATGTGGCCTTCGGCGCTGTGGGTTAAACCACAAAGGCTAGGACTTGCCGATCAGAAGGTCGACGGTTCGAATCCCTGCGACGGGGTAAGTTCCCATTGCTTGGTCCCTGCTCCTGCCAACCTAGCAGTTCGAAAGCACGTCAAAGTACAAGTAGATAAATAGGTACTGCTCTGGCAGGAAGGTAAACGCTGTTTTCATGCGCTGCTCTGGTTCACCAGAAGCGGCTTCGTCATGCTGGCCACATGAGATGAGCGCCACAACCCCAGAGTTGGCCACGACTGGACCTAATGGTCAGGGGTCCCTTTACCTTTACTCTCAAATAACAGCCCGAGGCTTATATCAGAGCTTAGCACTTTGAGCTCTTGGTGATGCTTGGTGCCAGGGGTGCCGACTTGAATACAATATGGGGGGAGGCAGGTAAGCTCTGCCCCACATAATTGATCACATGATGCACACCATTTGAATGGCAATGCCCATCAACTTGGGGGGGGAGTGTGTTAACATATACCGTTCCACCTTAAGAGGAACAGCCTCTTTACATGCCTGTTTACATTCCAGCACAGCTGGCTGGGAACTTCCGTTTTGTGTATAGTTTTGCTTATGCTTCTTGCTTTGGACATGAAGGAGAGCAGACATGTTTTCTTTGTCCTGATGTATGCTAAATAAACTACTCTAAATATGCTTTACACAGCCTCTCTCTGCCCTTCTGTTGTGAAGAGTTTTATTCTCTGCTGGCTTGCGTGCTCAACCTTCTGAAGGTTTCTGAGGCTTGAGTTGCAATTACATGCTGATCCAAGGACTGGAGATCACCCAGCTGACAGCTGGTGGCCTGGAGCCAGCTGGGGGCCTGCCAATTGCCCCCGTTTCCTTGGACACATCCCAACAACAGACCTCGGCCCTTAGGAGTTGGCTGCTATGCTTGGTGCCCAGATTCCTTCAAATCCTCAAATCTTACCGCATGGTGCTTAGATCAGACATAAGGGATCTCTGTGCCTAAGATGGCTGGTGATTGGCAAGTGGGTGCAATTTGTTCAAAGCTACCTCATGGGACAAACTGAGAGGCTGGTGGGCCTGGCAAGATCAATGGGCTAAAGATAGCACACTACGGCTCTAGGATGGTACCCTCTTTCATATTGCATTGTCCTCCGATCCAAAACCAAGTCATGCAGGGTTAAGGAATTGAGATCAGGAAGGGACAAAGCTCCAAACGTTACACACAACTCTTTGGTTAAGATTTATTGTTGGTTAAGTTTCATGCCAACAAACCATTAGAACACAGGCAGCTGTGTTGTAGCAGGATGAAGCCCAGGTGATTCAGTCACAGCAGAAGAACTTGACATCATTAAGTCCAGTGGTATCAACTGAAGTTATAGCCTCCACCTTTGTTTGGATCCCACAGATGGCACCAGTGGAGCAGCGCTTGCTCCAGTGGCCATAAGTACCGAAGTCGGTGGACTCGCCCTCCAGTACAGTCCCATCTTCACATTTGAACTGGATGTTGTTGGCTGCCGTATCATCACCTGGCCCTTGTGGGGCTTCCACTTTCAGAGCGAAGGCAGAACGACCTGATTCTGTGTGGTGCTGCTGCTTCTTTATGAAGTCCAGTGACCAGCACCATGCAGGATGGGATTCACTCACTTAAGTGGTAACGACTTTCCTGCAAGAAAGCCATGGGCAAGGCAGCACCTGCACCCCACAGGATCAAGGTCTCTGCTAAACAGCTGTTGAGTAGAGGTATTGATCTTTTAAGCCAGTGCATCCACCAAGAAGGAGTGCTGCAGTATTGTGCCTACTTTCTCTCAGGAAGGCACAGCCACTGGTTAGGAAGGTCTTGGCCTTTTCATACTCAGCCTGCCTCTCCTTCCTGACCCCTGACAATCACAGATATTCATGAGGACCAGACAGAGAAGCCTGGGGGACCACATTTGACCCCTGGGCTTGAGGTTCCCCACTCTCAGGATAGATGGTGCTTTCCTCTTGCTCTCTCTTTCCTTGGCATGTGTGGTCCTCAGGAAGAAACACTGCTTTTCCTTACCTTTGTACTCTTTTGTTGCAGTCTATTTTCTCTTTGTTATGTGGGGCTTGGGTTCCTCTGAAATTTGGAAGGCAACCTAGAATTGGTATCGTTAGACTCAGAGAGCTAAGAATGAGGATGATAGACCCTGACATCATCCTGCCCTGGTGCTGAAACATAATAGGATTCAACCAGCCCCTCACATCACCACTTTCCAAGCAACAAAGAGAAAAATCAAGAAGATGCTTATGGTCCTTTTGAAGATTGTACAACTGCACCACTACTGCAATGAAGACGGATGCCATTGAGGGCAGTATCATCAGAAGTATATCCTTGTGGTATCATCTCTGTCTGGTGCAAATGAGAGAAAGAGACTGCAATAAAGCTGTTGTTGCAAGCTAGGACTCTGTTTTATATTCTTTATTGAAAAATGAAAAGTACAAAATTACAAGTGCACAGAGTAAGACCAGGCCCAAAAAAACAAGAAACAAGAAATAGTACCCATGTAGAAAACAAAACAGAAAATAGATATTGTGCGTTTTACAAAAGGGGAGGGGTTGCTATTGTAGTTAACCAAACTAGGACTCTGACAACACTCACATTCATACTGTGTCTGCAGTCTGAATTTTCCAAAGCACTAGCTTGCAACATGAATAAGTAGTTATCTGTTCATGATTACGTGTCCCTACTTGTGTACAAGTATTACTGGTTCTGGATTGAGATTTACATTCCCAGCTGTATCAAAAGACAGTAGCTTTCTGATGCAACCAGTCCAATGTGCCCCAAGTAAGCAAACTTAATAGGAAAAAATTGATCTTGCTAATGGCTGCCTAAAGCATCCTCAATCCCTCTCTTATGTCTGCATATGCTACAGCAGGTTTCCTCCAGTTTGTGAAGTTAGGGTTGCTATATTATTTCAAGAAGTAAGAATCCAAACACAAAAAGTTGTTGAGCTGTTTGGAGGAAAGTTGTTGAAATCCTGGACATGTCAGGGAAAATCTGGATTTATGGCAACCCTTCTAGAAAACACCAGAACTTACCTGGGTTGCTTCCACACTAACAGTTTAGTCTGTATTTTCCAGTTGGGCGCTCACTTTCCAGGAAGATAAACCTGACCACAATATTGCCAGCTCATTGCACTCCAAACTTTTCTGTATCCTTGTCCCTTTTTTCCTCCAGTCCATCCAGATTCATGGTAGTTTTCTTTTATGTAAAATGCAATTCACTCTAAGCCTCTCCAGTGTGGATTGACAAAGTGGCATGGAGACTTTTCAGAGCTATTAAATCTTTAAGCATGGCAGTCAACACTTCAAAGCACCTTGCAGAAGATCTAGATAAGCCTTTACCTTCAGTGAGAATCCGTATGCATGTCCTGAGGGACAGGATTCAATTTTTCCCCATTCTCCCCACTCCCCGCCATTGGCCACAATGAGGACTGAATTATAGCTTCGATCTCCTGCCTCACAGAGGTGGTAGATGAGGAACAAGAAGACCACAGCACTGGTAGAGAGATCCATGGCAGGTGGACTGCACCAGATCCAGCTGCAAAAACTGAATGGAAGAATAACAGCCTTGAGAATTTATTCCCCAGAAAGTGTGGTTCTCTCTCCTCTGTTCAAAAGGTTCCTGAATCTTGTGTTTCCTCCTGGAGGGAAGTATGATTACTTCAGCTTGGACTAAGTGCCTCCAACATCAGAGATACACACTTTAGCAGGGGCTTCGCTCTAGGAACACAGGAAATTGCCTTATTCTAAGCCAGGCTATTGGTTATCTAGCTTAGTTCTGTCTACACTAGAGCTACTCTCCAAAGTTTCAGACAGGGGACTTCCCAGCCCTACTAGGAGATGCTGGAGGATATACCTGGGACCTCCTGCAACACTGATCTACAAATTTTTACATGGAAAGGGCATAGGCTTGCAGCGCCCCTTAGGCCAACCTTCCCCACCCTGGTAAATTCCATATGCACTGGACTGCAACTCCCATCATCCCCAGCCAGCAAACATGGTGGTGGTTCCAGCTGATTGGGAATCACAGTCCAGAACATCTAGAGATCACAATGTCGAGGGATGCTGCCATAGATTTGCAACACTTCCAAAGGAATGCATAGTTAAATACCCTGACATCTTTTGTGAAAAGCGGGGTACACTTTTCACAAAAAGTAGGGCCTAATACCACTAACAAGAATGCTTGACTGGATCCCCACTGGTTACTGGCTACTGATTAGGCTTCTGTAATTCTGGCCATGTTGCAACCCTTGTCTTCCCTTCCCAAACTTCTCAGAGCAGAGCATGGTATTTCTTCTTACTGTCTCTCAGCTGCCAGGCAGAATGAAAGCGTCCTTAAGCCGAGTGAGGAAATATGAATGTGAGCAGGGGATTTATAGGGGGCAGGACAATGAAGTGTAGGAACTCTCTGTCCTGAGCAACACCTCCTCTGAGCCATCACAAAGCAGAGCATTGGGAAGGCTATGAAATCTTCTTTGTCCTGCCCCCCCCATTACCAGTGCCTTTAGGAAATGCCTCCACAACCAGAACCCATTTGCCTGTGAGAGTGGGGAGGGCTGTCAGAAGGTGAGGACATCATGTCAATGCCAAAGACCAGTACTGTGCACTGTGCTTTAGAACAGGATTCGGCAACTTGCTGCTCTATGATCCATTATCAAAAACAGGGAGTGATCTACCACCCAGGGATGGGTGCAGGGTGGGCCGGCACCTAGCTGTCTCTCACCCCCCCCAGCAGCTCTCTCTCTCTCCCCCCCCCAAACCAGTTGGGCTGCGGAGCTGTCCTGTGCGAAACTTCTCCTACCCTGCAATATACTTGGAGTCCTGCAGTGATTTCATGCTCTTTATTGCTGCTTGTAAAACAGTGATTGAATTGACACAGAGAATTAACCAAACATTTCCCCCAAATGTAACATAAGGGTTAGCGTGTGTAATATTTTAAGACTTAATTGAAACAAGAGAATCACTTAGCTTTTTTAATGATCTGGTGCATGTCTACTTCATTATAAGTAAGCTTGTGTTGTTGTTGTTGTTGTTGTTGTTTTAAAAAAGCAGTCCACATATGCTTGTAGCAGTTGAAAATTGAAAGAGACCCCAGAGATTTCCAAAATCATGCTATATTCTGTCTAAATACAATCGCCTTATCTGATTCAGGGGGAGGGGAATCAGTGACCCTTCCAACAGATGAGTCTGCTTACAAGGAAAGATGTTGGGTTGAAATAAGCGACAGACGAGTGGTAAGGTGTCATACGGGAGGCATCTCTCGAGCATGTCTCGGAGAGTCCCTTTTATTGAATATTACAGCAATCCCACATATGTGCTTGTTGCTGATTGGTTAACATGAATACAATGCAAAGGTTGAATATAGGTATTAATCATCAATAGATTAAAGGTTGGGAAAGGGAACACAGAATTGGACAGGCGTGAAACCTCCTTATTAAACTATTAACTAGTACACAAGAGCTTCCCACACTGGAGGAATGGCAGATGAAACTGATGGACTATATGGAACTGGCGGAAATGACTGGCAGAATCCGTGACCAGGGAGAAGAGTCGGTGGAGGAAGATTGGAAGAAATTCAAAGACTATCTGCAGAAACATTGCAAAATTAAAGAATGTTAGAGTGATGTTGGATTGAAAACAAGTGGCTTCCAGCTGTACAGGATTTAAAGTTATAGATAGATTAAGATTAAGGATTAGGATTAAAAAAGTTTAAGGAAATGGAAACTGGGTTTTTAAGAGGTAAAATTTTAATGTTATATTATATTAAGATTAAAGATTGGGATTAAAAAAGAGGGAAAGAAATTGCTGAACAAACAATTTGAATTGGAATACAAAAGAGGGAGGTATGAGGAGGTCCAGAAAATAAGTAAATTTAAAAATGGAGATGAAAAGGTGATATTGTTTTTAACTGTTTTTCTTTTCTTTTTGTCTCTTGTTTTTTGTTCTTTTTTTCTTTTTTTGGATTATGTATTGTGTATTTTTGAATTGTGTATCTCTTTTCTATGTTTTTATGTTTAATCTTTTATTGATGTGTTCTTTTTATTGGAAAATTTAATAAATATCTTTAAAAAAAACTAATGATTGAGTATCAAGACTTAAACTATTACTAATGATTGATATAGCATGACATGAAAGAACATAACAATCGCTGCTCCGTAGATGTGGTCAACAATGCGTTAAGAACAGGTCAGGGTACTGAACTCAATGTGAACTGATCAGAACATTCTCAGACTCATGTGCAGAGGCAAAAACTTCCCAGCATCTCCCCCTTTCTTTTCTAATTTGCGAGGTGTTACTATATGATTTCTGGGTGAATAAGACAAAAATACCTCGGGATACGTGGTATGCCAGAGCATGCCCGAAATAAGTTTGCCAGGGTAGACGGGACAAAAATGCTTCGGGATACGTGGTATGCCAGCGCATGCCCGAAATAAGTCTGCCCACATCTCCCCTATCATTTACAGTTGATGCTGCCATTTCGCATAGTAGGCGGCAATGATTTTATTAGGTGGCAGAGGAGGAGAAAAAAACTGAGACCAAAGACGCATGAGACTAGGAATGCATTGGATGAAGCAGCATAGCAAAATTAATATACATATTATGACAATAGCATATTGGAAAAGATTACGAAGCCAATTCAGGTTTGGCAACCAGCCAGTGAGCCACTGGGTGAACGAATCCCAGAGGCCAGAAAATCCAACGTCCTGTTTAATGTGATGTGTAAGATTTTGCAAATGAGAAATTTCCCTTTGGACCGCTTTGGAATTATCAGTAATATTGAAGCAACACATGTCAGCCACTTGTTCACAGCCATAGTGATGAAGCATCAATAAATAATCAATAGCAGCGCGGTTTTGCAGAAGTCCATGCTGGAGTTCACTCTGTTCTTTATTTAAAAGGTGAAGAGCTTGAGAAGTAAAATTCAGGGCTTTTGCTGCAGAGCAAGCTAAAGAGTTAATGTTCCTACTATTGCGTACAGCCAATCCAGGGACTCCTAAGAGAGAAACAGCTAAAGAGATATATTCAGACCTACTGGGAAGAGAAACAGAATCATCACAATCATTAGTCAATTCCACAGAGCGGCGATATCGAGAGCGGGTCAAATGATGCTTTTTGGGTAAAATGATGGACAAACGGCTTAAGCAACAGGGTGTGCCATGGCTGATGTATTGTTGGCACATGGTAGGGGAATTCAGCATTCCTTGCGGTAGGACTTTCCATTGATACCGTTCCGTGGGCTGGCTGTTATTTAACACAGGAACAGTGAAAGCAAAGAATTTACGATCCTTCTCCTGTAGGGGGATGGAGAAGAAACAAATCTATGATAGCCAATTGATAAGAATGGGGGATCACATTCGGATTAGGCAGACCACACTGCAAAGGCTCTGTTAGGTATAAGATTTATTGCTTTGCTCTTGTCGTCCAGCACACTTCCCTGCACCTCTGCAGGTCGTAAAGCAATTAGCAGAATTTGCACAGCGTCCGTGTAGAAAGGGCAGTAAAGGACGTCCCACACGTTTCTTCTTTTCCTAGTAGCACTTTATTTGCTCAGAAATAGCATATTTACAGTTCATATACACCATCTGATTCAAGTTGCATTTCTGCGTCTCTCTCTCAGCAGCTGCGTAGCAAAGCTGCTTTCACGTTTCACTCAGCTCACAGCATTCCAAGCTGCTTTCGTCACGTCCTGGCTTACTTCCCTTGTAAGCGCCTCCTCTCAGCCTCGAGACACAGAAGGTTAACCCTTCACTACACCCAACACCCCCTCTTGTCTCGCACCTGAGGGGAGAATCGACCCTTGGTCGTCCCAAACCCAGACCTTCACAAAACTCCCCATGTCTTTGGAAGGTGAGTGGCTTCGTGAACCCATCAGCTAGGTTCTTGGCAGAGGGACAATACTTCAGCGCAACTAATCCCTCCTGAACACTCTGGCACACATTCCGAAAGCGAATGTCTAGGTGTTTCGTTCTGGCCTTGAACTGACCTGACTCTGCCAAACTCAGGCATGGTTGATTGTCCTCGAAAACACGTATCGGCAGACAATCCACTTCGCAGAGTTCCTGCACCAAACAAGCATAGAACTCTACTTCTCTGCACACCTCTGAAAGAGCACTGAACTCAGCCTCAGTGGATGAGAGCGCTATCAGACTTTGCTTCTTGGACCTCCACCCAACTACTGAGTTCCCAAACTTCACCACTAGGCCAGACACAGACTTGCGATCCTCAAGATTAGCCCAATCCGAGTCCACAAAGCAAGTCAGTTTCACTTCTCCTTGTGCTGGCAATCTAAGACAAAAGTCTTTGGTCTCCTGCAAATACCTCAGAACTCTCTTGACGCCATTCCAGGCTTGCACACTAGGGTTTGATGCTTCCCTGCTGAGCAGATTGACAGCAAACGCTATATCAGGTCTGCTCCATTGGGACAAGTACAACAAACTCCCTAGAGCTGACTGAAACACTTCAGTATTTTCGAACGCAGCGCGTTCTGCTTGCTGGCTGTCCTTCACAAAACTAGTCTCCATAGGACTTCTCACTCCTGCACAATCACTCATCCTCATTTTCTGAAGCAGTTGCTCAATTTTACCTCTCTGGCTGAGCAAAAACTTCCATCCTGTGCACGCTCAACATTGACACCTAGATAGGTTTTGACAGCACCAAGCTGTTTAAGCTTGAATCGTTTACCTAGCTCTTTGGCAAACTTCTCCGCCTGTTCATCTGTTTCTGAGACGAAAAGCACGTCATCAACCCAAACCAGCACCAGCTCCTGTGAGTCTCCTGATCCTCTAAGGAACAGGCAACTATCAGCAAGACTCTTCCTGAAACCTAGCTTCTCCAAAGCTTCATTCAGGCACATGTTCCAGTTTCTAGCAGATTGACGTAATCCATAGATGGATTTGTGCAATCTCCACACAACATCCTGCCTTGAGTTCTCAAACCCCGGAGGAGGAATCATGTACAGCTCCTCCTGGAGATCTGAGTTAAGGTAGGCAACATCCACATCAAAGTGGTTTACCTTCCAGCCTCTCTGTGCTGCACAAGCTAAAAGCGTTCTCAGAGTCTCTGCTCGTGATGTTGGCGAATACACCTCCGTGAAGTGTATTCCCTTCCTCTGAGTAAATCCTCGAGCAACTAATCTGGCTTTATACTGCGGCTCTCCAGCGTCCGTGGGTTTCAAGCAGTAAACCCATCTGGAACTCACAGCTTGCTTTCCCGGTGGCAACTCTGTGAGTGAGAACACACCTAGATCTTTCATGGACTTCATCTCTTTGTCCATTGCCCTGTGCCACTTGCCTGCTTCTTCCTCAGTTAAACTCTGAATATCCTCGAAGGATTCAGGTTCACATCTTGCAGAACCTACCCAGACGCCTGAAGCGCCGTACTGATCAGGAGGCCTCCTTGTCCTCGCTGATCTCCTCAGTGTGACTCCTGGTGACCCTGCCGCTTCACTGGGTCCAGCTAAATCATCCTCAACTTCAGTGTCTTCCCCCCTCTGACCTGCTGCGCCTCTTGGGCCTTACAGCTGGTCCAGCAGGTGAAGAAGGCTTACTCTTTGGCTCAAACTTGACACTTGCCTGAGGAGGTGTTCTAGGTTCCCCCCTCCGAGGGATCCTGAGCTGTTCCTGCCTTGGACTCTGTCCCTCTGGACCGTGGTCCCCAGCAACAAGTTCCTCTTCCTCCTCAACATCTGAGTCATAGAACTGCTGTGGAAGCACGTCTGAATTGGCGTGCAGACGTTTCCAACCAGCTTGCTCACAGAACTCAGCGCTATTGCTGATAACCAACCTAGACTGGTCTCCACTTGGGTACGCAAACCTCCAGGCCTTTGAGCCAGGCTCATACCCTACAAAGATCATCCTTTTAGATCTTGGCTCACCTTTCTTGCGTAGAGCCTTTGGAATAAGCACCCAAGCCTCACAACCAAACACACGAAGGTAGTGTACCTTGGGCTTCCTTCCATGAAGTAAGAAATACGGTGTATTTCCTACACTAGAGTTGTACACTCTGTTCTCGGTATGGACCACATATCTCCAGGCCTCCGACCAAAACTTCTGGGGTAGCCCTGCGTCCCACAGGATTGCAGACACAGCTTCCTGTACCGTCCTGTTCTTTCTCTCTGCGACCCCATTCTGTTGCGGAGAGTAAGGAGCGGTCAGTCTGTGGCTAATCCCCTTCTCCCTAAAGAAATCCTGTAAAGCAGAACCAGTGAATTCAGCACCTCTGTCACTTTGAAAACCACGAACTTTGGTGGAAAAGGTTACCTCAACTGCGGTGATCCAATCCCTGATCATTTTAGCCGCCTCCCTTTCGTTTTCAGAGAGAAGGTCCAAGCAGACCTCGAAAAATCATCAATCAAAAGCAAAGAATACTTCGAACCTCCCAGTGACTCAACAGACATGGGTCCACACAAATCTGCATGAATTAATTCAAAGGGTTCTGTGTTCTGCCTCTCTGACTTTGGATATGAGCATGTCACAACTTTCGCCTGTTTACATGCATTGCAATCTAGAAATTTGTCACAAACATTAAATCTGCACCCTTGTGTCAGCTCCGGTGCTTTCTGGAGAAATTTCCAATTTAAATGAGCGAAGCGCCTGTGCCAAATATGTAAACAACCATTGTGGGGCGCTACATTCACACATTGGCCCTTCGCATCTTCGGTGTCTTCTTTTCCTGTGGAAAAAGGCACATTTACAGCAAACAAATTATCTTTAGACTGCACTGTGTACACGTGCTTCCCATCCTTGGAAAATTCACATTTGTCACCTGTAAAAGAAATTTGAAAATTATCGATCAATAGATCATGCACACTTAACAAACAGTTAGTTAAACCGGGCACTGCATAAGCTTTGACTTCATGCTTAAGGAAAGGACAGAAGAACAGTCCTGTTTCTGTCAGCCTTTTTCTGCTTCCATCTGCAAACTTAACAAACTTCTCAGTTTTTACTGTCCTGCAATTCCTCAAAAGATCAGGAGATGGCACTAGCGAATTTGAGGCACCAGAGTCTATTATTATAGTGAGAAAGTCTTGTTGTTTACATTCCTGGGTCGCCAGGGCAACAATCTCCTCACTACCCCCCTCCTTGGGGCTTCTGCAGATGTCCTCTCTGGTTGTCACGGCAACAGACTCCCCCCGGCAGGAAGACTTGCCCACGACCTTCACAGCTTCCGTAGATGCAACTCTCTCAGTTGCCATGGAGACTGGACTTGTCTCGGCGTTCCCACACAACTCTGAAGCTCTTATCTCTACTTGATGCAGGTGGCTGACCTTGAAGCCTCTAACTCTTTCAGCTTCCCAGGCTCCGACTCACGACGTAAACAACTCTTGGCAGCTTTTGGAGAAAGAGGCGTCTCTGAGCTTTCACTGCTCACTGCCCCCCCACTGCTCTTGGGGTCTCCGGGACGTTTTTCTGCACCCCCTCTGAAGGGTAAAGGGCTCTCAACACTTGGCCTCTCTTCAGGTTCCTCACACAGACACGTTGCAGCATCCACACAGCTCCCAGGCTCCAGCAAAAGCACAAGCAGCATTGCTAGCAACAATAACAGCAACAGCAACAGTCCCTTCGCCCCCCTGTGGGGGCTCACAGCACCTCCCAGCTGTGTATCGGCAATCAAGAATGTGGCCGGCGCCATCTTGCCTCTCCCTTTCAGATGCAGCCACTTCTCGGCCCTTGCTTCCCACTCCAGCTCCACAAGCTTCTTGGAGTGCTAGCCAAGCGGCCTCTGGCTTTCTTGCACCCAGGACAACAGGCACCAGATGAGCATCCACACTTTCTGCCCACCCAGCAAGCACACGCTTCTCCACTTCACTTTGCTCTGCAGCCCTTTCAGCCTCTGCTTTCCCAGCTGCATTCTGTGTGGGGTGAATTACATTCCACAGCTGCTCCCCCACCAGCAAAAGCTCCACTTGAAAGCTCCACTGCAGCCAATTCTGGCTAGTCAGTCTCTGACATGGCAGCTTAAGCTCAAAGCCATGCTCACAGGGCTGAGCCATTGCCCTCCCTTCTGTTGGCTTTTCCCAAAGGTACTCACTCAGCCAAACTGGGAACTCCGGACGTCATGGCTCTCCGTCAGCCTCCTCCGATCTGCCTCTTTGAAGTCTCCGGCAGTCGATCAAACTGACGTTCAGCAGATAAAACTTCAAAGCCCTTTCTCACGCTTCACGTTGACCCATAACCATGGTAGGTATAAGATTTATTGCTTTGCTCTTGTCGTCCAGCACACTTCCCTGCACCTCTGCAGGTCGTAAAGCAATTAGCAGAATTTGCACAGCGTCCGTGTAGAAAGGGCAGTAAAGGAAGTTCCACACGTTTCTTCTTTCCTAGTAGCACTTTATTTGCTCAGAAATAGCATATTTACAGTTCATATACACCATCTGATTCAAGTTGCATTTCTGCGTCTCTCTCTCAGCAGCTGCGTAGCAAAGCTGCTTTCACTTTTCACTCAGCTCACAGCATTCCAAGCTGCTTTCGTCACGTCCTGGCTTACTTCCCTTGTAAGCGCCTCCTCTCAGCCTCGAGACACAGAAGGTTAACCCTTCACTACACCCAACAGGCTCCATGGGTTCAAGGATGTCATTAATTTTCCTTAAATCCTGGAGAAATCTCCATTTCCCACTTTTCTTTTTTATGACGAAGATGGGAGTGTTATAGGGGCTAACTGAGGACTCGATATGGTCTGCCGATAATTGTTGATTCACCAATTCTTTTAAAGCAAGTAGCTTTTCCCCCGTTATGGGCCATTGTTCGACCCATACCGGGGTGGTTGACTTCCACTTGAGGGGGAGTGCAAGCTTACTCATTAAATTGAATGGTAGCTTGTAATTGTTGTAGTAAGTCTCTGCCCCACAGATTAAGGTGGATTTTTAGCACGCAAGGCTGGATGTATGCAATGGTTTCAGAGCTATCAGGCAGAGAAACAGGCAACCACTTTACGCTTTTGGTTGAGGTTTGAGGTCCACCCACACCCCAAACCGCAGAGGCAGACTCAAGGGGCCACGTGGGGTCCCAGCAACTACTGGATATGACAGAAATGTCTGCGCCCGTGTCAATCAAGCCTTCCAGAACCTTGCCATTGATTCTATACTTACGAAGAAGTTTCTGTTGACCAATCCTCTGGACTACAGCTAAGAGCTGTGGAGAAAGGGGAGAGAGCTCGTGCAAATTACTATCCATAATAGAAGCAGTAGGATGAGAAGGGAGCACTACCAAATGCGCCCAAGAATCACCCTTTTTTAACTGCATGGGCATATGGCTCCAGAGTTGAACCATGATTGTGCCCACATAGTCAGGATCTAGGACTCCCGGAATAACCAGGATTCCTTCTTTGGCCACAGAGAATTTGGGTAAAATTAAGCCTGCAACCTTAGGTGGTAGTGGGCCCGCCAACTGAGTGGACATGAGCACAATTTCACGAGGTAAAGCAGCGTCTCTGGTTTCCTGATTAATTAAATCAATGGTGAAATCAGAGGGTGTATCCTTAGGATAGTTTTCAAAAGTGGAAGCTAACGACGGAGGGCTCTCTATTTGTCCTGGCCCGAGAGCTGGGCCCCCATGGAGTTTCCCGAACTCCTGCACTGATTTGCCCAATGATAGCCTTTTCCGCATTTCGGGCATTTTTTGGAAGGCTTAGCCTTATTGGCATCACCATTCCTGCTTGCTCCCCCGCCAGGGGCTCTGCATTGTTTAGCAAAATGACCTGGGCGTTTGCAATTGAAGCAATTGCCCGTGGGCTTATTGCCAGCCTGGATGGCACCGGCAAGCAAAGACATCGCGTGGCTCTGGCTGCCAACATCTGCACAGGTTTGAATCATATCGGCCAGGTCATATTTAGGGCGATGTATGATTGACTGCAAAGCCTTCTTGCAATCGGTGTTTGCATTTTCAAAGGCCAATTTTTTTATCAATTCATTTTGAGCTGTAGTGTTATCAATCTGCCTAGTGATTGATTCTTTCAATATATCTATAAATTGATGGTAAGGCTCCGAATGTTGTTGCTTAATATTAACAAAGGAGCTCAGCGGTTGCCCTGAGACAGGGACTTTGCGAAAGGCGCGTTGAACACAGGTCGCGGTGCGACTAAAATGTAAAGGTGTCAAATGCGCCTGGGCTGGTATATTATCATACGGACCAGCACCAAAGAGTTGGTTGGCTGAATGCTGTGGATCAGCCAGGGCTACTGCGCTATGCTTAAATTCACTTTCAAAAACCACATACTGAGCCGGGGATAAAAGCATGCGCATCAGATCCTTCCAATCTTGAGGTAGCATTGTATAACCAGTTGCGATCCCCTCCAGCATCCCTAGCACATAAGAAGATTTTAGGCCAGAATCAGTAATGGCTTTCCTTAATTCTCTCAGAATAGAATAAGGAAGCGTCTCATACATAACTTGTTGTTGTGCCGTGCCAGGGTTTGCATAGGAGATAGGGAAAGCAGATGGCATTTCCCCAGCCCACCCAGCCTCTTCCTCCAAGGAGAGGATTCCTTTCTGTCTAGCTTGAAAAAGCACAGCGCGCACAGCTCCTGTGGGAGAGCACGCAGGGGCTGAGGCAGGCGAAGGAGGGAGGGAAGGGGGGATGGGGGGGATGTGGACTGAGGCGTAGGGGGGGTAGGGAAGGTTGTGATGGAGGCAAAAGCTTTGGGTATGGTGGGGGATTGTCTGCTGCGGCCAAAAGGGCAGGTGGTGGGGGATTGTCTGCAGCGGGTGCCGACGGAGATGCCTGGGGTCCTAACCTAGCGAGGGCATCCACACACTTCTGCCAAGTGAGCAGACAATGAATTGGAGCCCTCGGTTCTGAGAAGAGGGTTGTTCCGATCTTTTGCCAAGCTTCTGTTCCCAGAGACCCAGATTCTGGGTACCAAGGGCACTGGAAAGCAATCTCACACAAAACAATTGTTCAATTTCTTTCAAAGAAATATGCGCACCCGCCACTCGCTGTCTGACTAAATGGAGCAGCTCCTTGGCATGCTCCTTTTGGAACCTCGTAAGTTCCCCCCCCCCCATACTCACGAGACTTTTCCAGTCGAGTGAAGTATCGAGGCTGCGTAAAGGGATCTGGCACGTCGGGGTCACCAGATGTTGGGTTGAAATAAGTGACAGACGAATGGTAAGGTGTCATACGGGAGGCATCTCTCGAGCATGTCTCGGAGAGTCCCTTTTATTGAATATTACAGCATTACCACATATGTGCTTGTTGCTGATTGGTTAACATGAATACAATGCAAAGGTTGAATATAGGTATTAATCATCAATAGATTAAAGGTTGGGAAAGGGAACACAGAATTGGACAGGCGTGAAACCTCCTTATTAAACTATTAACTAGTGAATGAGTATCAAGACTTAAACTATTACTAATGATTGATATAGCATGACATGAAAGAACATAACAATCGCGTTCCGTAGATGTGGTCAACAATGCGTTAAGAACAGGTCAGGGTACTGAACTCAATGTGAACTGATCAGAACATTCTCAGACTCATGTGCAGAGGCAAAAACTTCCCAGCAGAAAGACACTTCTAACTTTGTTCTTTTCAACCCTTCTTCCAAGCTTTGTGTCCTTTTAGTAACCTCCTTTATTTGTCCCTTCAATTCATTCACCGTCACTTCTATTTTTTTATCCATTTGTCCTATTTTTTTATCCACCTGTTCTAATTTGGATTCTATATTTTTTTCAATTTGTTTTATGTCCTTTTTAATTTCAGCAAACATTTTCAATATATCCCCTTTAAGTTCTGACTCCTGTCTTGAGCCCTTCCTGTCCCCTGGTGTCGCTCCCTCACTTGTTTTTTTCTGTGAGTGAGTTTTTTCTTGCTGCTTCCATCTTTGGGCTAATAATATTCTTGCTGTGGCTGTTGCATATAAAAACAGTTTCTTGTCTATGTATTTCACTACCCACAATACCAATTAAGAAGGCTTCTGGGGTTTTTTTACAAATGTTTATTTCAACATTTTCAAAATTTCATTGTATATCATCTCCCAGAAAGCTTTAACCTCCTTAAAAGTCCTCCACATGTGGTAGAAAGTACCTTCTTTTCCTTTACCTTTCCAACATTGGTTATTTACTTTATACATTTTTGCTAACTTCACTAGTGTAATATACCATGTACACATCATTTTCATTGCATTTTCTTTAAGGGTGTTATAGGTGGTGTCAGCCTGGTTATGAAATGCCTTCCCTGGAAAGCCCACCTGGTGCCATCTTTGTGGTCTTTATTGTCCGAAGTTTTAAAACTGAACCTTTGAATTCACAGGGTTTTAGATGTGTGCTGTGTATATTTTTTGTGATGTTGTATATTCATCTTTAAATTGTGTTATTGAAACTGTTGCTTTTTAAAGCTGGAGTGCGAGGCTGCTTCTACTGAGATTTATTTTTTAATTAATTAAATGTGTTTGCCCAGAACAACACAAAGTGACTTACAATGAGCCGTTTGTGCATTTTAGGGAGGGCATCACCATATCCCAGTTCTCTTTTGGCAACATCTCTTCCCCCACCTCTTCATTTCACTTTAGGAAGCAGTTGAGCACACTTCCGGCTTTCTGCATTCTGAGGCCTTTTCCTCCTCTTAGCCAGGTGACCTTTGCATCTTCCTAGGGCTGAGCACTATGGGAAGCAGCTCCTCCTAACCAGTGGCATAGCGTGGGTTGTCAGCAAGGCAAGTAATTTGCGCCCCCTAACCCGTGGAGCCAGGTAGGGCTGCGAGTGCGAGCGCCCCCCCCGATGTTGCGCCCGGTGCGGCCGGGCCCCCCTGCGCCCCCACACTACGCCATTGCTCCTAACCCACTTCGATCTGCCACGACCACAAGAGATGAATGTTTCACCTTGTCACCCCTAGTTTGCTCGCACACACTCTGACACACATGCTGCCTGCATCTCCTCTTCCTGCTCCTCTCACAGCTGATAAGAAGGGACACACTTACTCTTCATTTCATTTCATTTTTATTGGTGAAAGAACAGAACAGGCAATCAATGATATTATAGAAAGATGTCTCTCCTGTACTTGCGTATGAGAGAAATAATCAAAAGGAATTCAGTAACAGAAAATAACATATATAGTCTATGCTGTCAGAAAATTTAGTATTCCGGTGATTCATAAATGAACGTCATTCCGGCATTCAATATATTTGTCTGGTGAATGTCTTTTTTATTAATATTTTCAATGAGTTTTACTGTAACAACAAAAGGGTGAACTATAACGAAATGTATCTCAAATGATACAGAGAATGAACCAAACATTTCCCCCAAACATAACATGAGGGTTAGCGTGTGTAATATTTTAAGACTTAATTGAAACAAGAGAATCACTTAGCTGGTTTTTATGATCTGGTGCATGACTACTACATTATAAGCAAGCTTGATTTTATTTTTTTAAGCAGCCTAAATATACTTGAAAGTTGAAAGAGACCCCAGAGATTTCCATAATCATGCTATATTCTGTCTAAATACGATCCCTTTATCTCATTCAGGGGTTGGGGAATCGGTGACCCCTCCAACAGATGAGTCACTGCTGCTTACAAGGAAGGACAGAAAGAGAAGCAGTCGGCACACTGCAAACACACCGGCAGGAGTACTGGATTGGCTCTGCCAGTGTGTTTGCACCACACCAAGCTCCCCAATGACTTGCCTCTCTCCCTTCCAGCAAGCAGCAGCAATTCAGCTGTCAGGAGGCCAGGTAAGCACCACCACTCCACCCTGTCATCCTCTGTTGCCAGTGGAAGAGGGCTGTGCAGCAGGGTGGTGGATCAGTCACAACAGAACATCTTCACGTCACGAAGTTCTACTTTACCAAGCATTTGATTCTCATTCGCCACCCTTGTTTGGATGCCACATATGAAGCCACTAGGGCAGCGCTTGCTCATTTTGCCCTCTTCCATCCGTTGAAAGATATCTTTCTTCAATTTAGCCCCACCACTGCAGAGGACCTCAAGGTTACTGACTGCATGAGGAATTAGCGGTTGTGGTAATTCAATAGTCAAAGAAAAGGACACCATGTTGCCTTGGGGGCATTTCTGAACCGCAACCCATTCCCCGAGCCTGTAAAGAAAAGGACAAGGATGGCAATGTCCAAATAGAAATTTATATACCACAACTTTGTCAATGAATTTTTATTTTTAAAGTCTCTCCAGAGATATAATTCCAAATTAGAGCAAAAAGCTTTATTTCAGAAAGGATGTATAGAACAGATTCGCCTTCAAATGTGAATCAATTTGACTTCCGGAGGCGGAGCCAACGGTAATGGCTGCTTCTCTCTAACTTGGAGAGAACTAGCTCTACGGAATTTGGGTCCTGTCGCCACGGCGCAGCGGGGACCCCCAAATAAATCACAGGCGGGTGAAGCCTGTGAACGTGGGACTCAGCGGGCACCGTTTGCGCCCCCCCAATTGCTAAAGGAGCTCGGCAACGGGCTCCGGAGCGGAGCGGGGGTGGCGTGGTGCTGTGAGCAAATTGCTTCTTCCGTGGAGTGAAGCCGCGAAGCTGTTACCGGAGAGCTCTGCCTTTTTTCCTGGGATAATTGGCACTGAAAACAACTACCCGTGAGTAGGAGTAAATTGGATTTAAAGGGGGGAAAAAAAAGTTAATTTGGCACGAGCGGGGAACGTACAAGCAGGAAGTCTACCTCCCCTGAATTGTAAATAGATCAAAGCAAAGAGACTTCAAAGCAGAAACTCGGACAGTCATTTAAATGTGCTAAATTCCAACATCTTGAAAAGGGTTCCCCCTCCGGATTGCCGGCGAGGAGGGGGACAGTAAAGACTGAGCTGAATGTCCCTGCAGTAAAGAAGGGGAGAGGAAGGAAGAATTTACAATTTAAGATTCAGAACGGACTGCCTTAAGATAGAGGTTTATAGTGAAAGTTTGTTTCTGACAGCCAATTCTGCAAAAGTGATACAGTGTTTCCGAACCTCTTTTGGCTTAAAAGTAACTGTTTAAATGTATTGAGACTGTGGACTTCGAAAGTAAATTGGGGGATTTATAAAGACTATTTTTGTTTCTAAAAAGTTACAAGTTCTGGCTGTTACTGTGTCCCCTAGAGGAGATTGGACATTGTTACAACAATAGTTACAAAGAGGAAAATTCCATTCTATGTCAAAACAACTGGCTGAATGTGGGAGTGACCTTGAATGTCTATGAGACTGTGATGGCAGATGATAAGAAGGCGGAACCGCAGGAAAAATTACTAGGTCTGGCAGACATTATCGGATAGATACTGCGTTGCCGCGAAGGGGCTCAACATCTGGAGCATCCGGAGCATCAGGGGCCCCACTCCCACAGTCTAAATCAAAAGTTATGACATCAGAAGAAGTTTTGGCACAGGCTCTGGCAAAAATTAATGAATCTTTGGAAAGCCTAAGTAAACAGGTAATTGAGACAAATAGACAAGTAACAGAAACAAATAGGCAAGTAGTTGAGACAAATAGACAAGTTGTGGAAGCATCAAATAAAATTGATTTAAATACTGCAAGTATAAATACCTTGGGACAGAAGGTGAATGCCAACACAGAGACTATCGAAAAATTACTACAGGAATCTGCCTTGATTCGACAAACTGCACAGGAAGCAAAAGATATTGCAATTGCTACTCAGGAGAAAATTCCACCTGTATATAAGAAATTGGAGGACCATGATGTGACATTTTCCATGTTTGAATTGAAAGATAGACAGAGAAATCTGAGAATTAGGGCTGTTCCAGAGCGGGAGAAAGATAATTTGGCTGACTTTCTTACACAGGAATTTACAGATTTTTGGCAATTGGACCCGGGGAAGGAAGAATTTAAGATAGTGAATGCATTTAGGCTCGGAAGAAGACAAGGCAAGGGCAAGGTGAGAGACTGTTTGATTACCTTTCGAACAAAAGAAGAGAGAGATAAAATTCTGAATTTGCACTATCAAAAAAAACTTTGGAAATTGATGACTCAAGTCTACTGATTTTTAAGGACATCCCAAAGCATTTGCTGGACTTAAGGTCCAATTATGGAGACCTAGTGACCTTATTGAAAAGAAACAGAATTCTTTTCAGGTGGGAATTTCCGCAAGGCCTGTCCTTCAAATATAAAGGGAGAAAGATAAAAATAAAATCAACTGAGGAAAAAGACAGATTCTTGAAAGACCACGAGGAAGATCTACTGAAAGAAGGGGAATCTGAAGAAGAACCAAAAGGCATACTAGACATATCAAATTTATCTTTTGGACTGCACGGTCCAGAAAAAGTGATACTACCCACAGAACAAGAAGCGGCACTTGGGGCAGTTGGAGGTAAAGTGAAGTAGCCCCCACCATGGCTCTGCAACTATTAAGCTGGAATTGTAACGGTTTGAATTCTCCGCGAAAAAGAAAAAGTGTGTTTCATTTATTAAAAAAGAACAATTGGACTTGATTTGTCTACAAGAGACACATATAACAAGGGCACATAGGAAGTTATTGATTAATAAAAGATTAGGACAGGAGTTTGTCTCATCTGACAAAGTTAAAAAAAAGAGGAGTCGTGATTTATGCAAAGGAGAGACTTTTACCGAAATTTATCTTTAAAGATGATCAAGGAAGATTTTTGGCAATTGAAATTCAACTACAAGGAGAGAAATTCTTAATCGTGGGAATTTATGCACCGAACGAGGGAAATCTGAATTCTATAAAAAGTTGCATGAGACTTTATTGGATCATTTGGACTATAATTTGATTCTGATGGGGGACATGAATGGAGTAGTATCTACAAATATGGACAAGGCTCAAAGACAGGTAGTCACCAAGGATGGTAGACTACCAAAAACATTTTTTGAGATGACAGACAATATGGACTTAGTGGACATCTGGAGGGTAAAGAACCCCCTGGGAAGAGAAGGAACCTTTTTTTTGAAGCCAAGATGACATGGACTAGAATTGACCAAATATGGATAACTAGAGGAATGGCACCAAAGATAAAGAAGGTAGAAATCTGCCCAAAAACTTGTTCCGACCATAATGCTGTAAGGATGGAGATGAAACAAACAACAACCGGATCCTTTAGATGGAGGATGAATGACACCTTATTTAGAGATGAAGAAGTTTACAAAAAGGCCCAAAAGACTTTGAGAGATTATTTTGAAATAAATATGAATACCAATGTAGAAAAAAGAGTAATCTGGGACGCAAGCAAAGCTGTGATGAGAGGGTTTTTGATACAACAGAATGCAATAAAGAAGAGAAGTCAAAATGAAAAGAAAGATAAAATCTTGGAAAAAATAAAAGAAGGAGAGAAGAAATTGAGAGCAAAACCAAAGTCCCAGGAGATTTTGAGAGAAATAAAATTATATCAAGTACAATATATGGAAATGATGAATCAGGAAATAGAATGGAAAATCAAACAAATGAGACAAAAAACATTTGAATCAGCTAATAAATGTGGAAAACTGTTGGCCTGGCAAATGAAAAAAAGACAAAAATTAAATACTATTATAAATTTAGAAGTGGAAGGAAAGAGTATACATAATCCAAATGAGATTAGAAATTGCTTCCAGAAGTACTTTAAACAATTATACACACAAGGGCCACAGAAGGAAATGGACATAGACCAATTTTTGAAGACAAATGGCCTACAAAAAATCTCTCAAGAAAGTAAATTAATGCTGAACTATAAAATATCTGAACAGGAAGTAGAAGGTGCCATACAAAATATGCAATTGGGCAAATCTCCAGGACCGGACGGGCTGACTTCCAGATACTATAGATCTTTGAAAGAGTGGTTACTGCAACCTTTGAAGGAAGTCTGCAATGAAATACTGGAGGGGAAAAGGGCACCAGAATCGTGGAAAGAGGCGTACATCACACTTATACCGAAAACAGAGACTGAAAAGACTCAGCTTAAGAACTATCGCCCTATATCGTTACTTAATGTGGATTACAAAATTTTTGCAGACATTTTGGCCAAGAGATTGAAAAAAATATTGATGAAAGAGATTCATAAAGACCAAGCGGGCTTTCTCCCGGGAAGACATCTGTCTGATAACTTGAGGAATATAATTGATATTTTGGAAAAATTAGAAGTGAATATAAACACCAAAGCAGTATTGATATTTGTTGACGCGGAGAAAGCTTTTGATAATATCTCTTGGAGTTTTATGAAGAAGAATCTGCATGGGATGGGGGTAGGCCAAGGTTTTGAAAATGGTATAGGTGCAATATACTCTGAACAAAAGGCTAAATTAATTGTAAATAATGTGGTTACGGAAGAATTTAAGATAGAAAAAGGGACACGACAGGGGTGCCCAATTTCCCCACTGCTTTTTATATCGGTCCTGGAGGTTTTGCTAAATATGATTAGAAAGGACCGGTTGGTTAAGGGCATACAGGTCGGAGCTAAACAGTACAAATTGAGAGCATTTGCAGATGACCTAGTATTGACGTTACAGGAGCCAGAATCTAGTACTAAAAGAGTTTTAGAATTAATTCAGGAATTTGGTCAGGTGGCAGGTTTTAAATTGAACAAGTTAAAAACTAAGGTTTTAGAGAAAAACTTAACACCGATTGAAAGAGAGAGGTTTCAGAATGAGACAGGATTGAATGTGGTAAAGAAAGTGAAATACTTGGGGATTAATATGACAGCCAAAAATGGGAACTTATTTAAAGATAATTACGAAAAATGTTGGACGGAAGTGAAAAAGATTTAGAAATTTGGTCAAATTTGAAACTCTCGTTGCTGGGCCGTATTGCTGTGATAAAGATGAATGTATTGCCTAGAATGTTGTTTTTGTTTCAGACATTACAAATTGTAGATAAGATGGACTGTTTCAAGAAGTGGCAGAGAGATATTTCTAGATTTGTCTGGCAGGGCAAGAAGCCCAGAATAAAATTTAAGATATTAACTGATGCCAAGGAAAGAGGTGGATTTGCCCTGCCAGACCTTAAACTTTATTATGAATCAGCAGCTTTTTGCTGGCTGAAAGAATGGCTACTTCTTGAAAACACAGACATTTTGGATTTAGAAGGTTTTAACAATGTATTTGGATGGCATGCATATTTATGGTATGATAAGGTCAAAGCACACAAAGCATTCAAAAATCATATTGTTAGGAAAGCATTGTTTAATGTCTGGATAAGATACAAAGACTTATTGGAAAATAAAACCCCAAGGTGGCTGTCACCAATGGAAGCAAAAGCTCTGAAAAGGCTCAATATGGAGGCCAAATGGCCGACATATTGGGAAATTTTGGAGCAAGAAGGAGATAAATTGAGACTGCAGAGTTTTGAAAAATTAAAAAATAAAGTGAGAGATTGGCTCCACTACTATCAGATAATGGAGGCATATAACTTGGATAAGAAAATAGGCTTCCAAGTGGAAAAGTCAAAATTAGAAACAGAATTGTTAGAACCCAAAACTAAAAATTTGTCAAGAATGTATAACTTGCTGTTGAAATGGAATACTCAGGATGAAACGGTGAAATCTGCTATGATTAAATGGGCACAAGATGTTGGACATAACATTATGTTCGCTGACTGGGAACAGTTATGGACCACAGGTATGAAGTTTACGGCATGTAATGCCTTAAGAGAGAATATTATGAAAATGATATACAGGTGGTACATGACCCCAGTCAAGCTTGCAAAAATTTATCATTTGCCCGATAATAAATGTTGGAAATGTAAAGAAACTGAAGGTACATTCTTTCACCTTTGGTGGACGTGCCCAAAGATTAAGGCTTTCTGGGAAATGATATATAATGAACTGAAAAAGGTATTTAAATATACCTTTCTGAAGAAACCAGAGGCCTTTCTCTTGGGCATTGTCGGCCAACTGGTGCCAAAGAAGGACAGAACCTTTTTCATGTATGCTACAACAGCAGCAAGAATACTTATCGCAAAGTATTGGAAGACACAAGATCTACCCACTTTGGAAGAATGGCAGATGAAGGTGATTGACTACATGGAATTGGCGGAAATGACTGGCAGAATCCGAGACCAGGGAGAAGAGTCGGTGAAAGAAGACTGGAAAAAATTTAAGGACTATTTACAGAAATATTGTAAAATTAAGGAACTTTAGAAGGATGTTGGATAGAAATTAAGAGGTTTTTAGCTGTAATGCTTTAAGAGACATGAAAAAAAAGGTTAACAATTGGGTAAAAGATTAATGGTAAGGATTTGCTGAACCAACAAACTGAATTGGAATACAAAGAAGGGAGGTATGAGGAGGTCTGGGGAAATAAGAGTAAGGAAGATAGGTTATGGAACATTATTGTGTTTTTAACTGTTTTATTTTGTATGTTTTTTCTTACTTTTTACTTTTTTGCTGTAATTTATACTTTTTTCTTTGTTTTCTGTATTTTTGTGAAACTTTAATAAATATCATTTTAAAAAAACAAACAAATGTGAATCAATTTGAATTTTGCCTCCATCCCTAGAAGTAAGTTCCACAGGACTATGTGCAAGCAGGTATATTTTGGGGCTGTTAAACTCAGAGTGTGTCCAGATTACCATTTGCCTTTAATCTAGCATGAAATATTTCAATCTACCCCTCCCGCTCCTACCCCAAACTTCCAAGCAACAAGTTAATAAAGGAAGAGAAATTCAAAAAGCTACTCACTTTCCACTTTTAGACTCTACTGTTTTTCCATCAGTGCAGTGGAGACGGATGCCTTTCAGAGTGAAATCTTTTCTAAAGGCTTCGTTTACATCTCTGCGAAACTGGTGGAGAACGGGGGGGGGGGGAGAGACTGGTGCTGCAATCTGCATCTGCATTACTGGCAACATTTATTTGTGAGCAAAACAACATTTTTTCAGTGCAAATTTCTATGTGCAAGGGCTTGCAATGACCTAGCTAGATCAGCAATGAGCAGTACTAGCTCAAGTCATGTGCACACAATTGCCCGCAGGTACTGGACATAGATGAGGATTTACGTTCACCTCAAAGAACAAAAACATTTCCATCCGAAGGATGGAGATGAACAAATGTGGGGTGGGGAATCAGCCTTTCTATACAGCAGTGGCAGACCTTGGGGTCCCAAATTTCAGTAGCGCCCTGTACAATGCCAAAATTTGGCACCCCTCCACTTCCTGACTTCCATTCTAAATAATAGTTGTGCCACACTCTGAGGCACCCCCAGAACTCTTCACACAGTGCGACCAAACCAGCCACGCTCCCCTAAATCTGTCCCTGCTAATTGCTGACATAGAAAACCTGCATCCAGTTCTGTGCAATCCAGATGAGCAAACATTATGAGAAATGTAACAGCTCTCAGAATGAAACCCACACAGGCCTGTTCTTACGTCTCTTTATTATTTAAGAGAAAGGAGAAAATCCGTCCCCTAGTTATAGTATGTCAGACCATTTGGTCTTCTAGACCATTTCTGTCTACTCTGACCAGGAATAGCTCAACAGGATCCCAAAGCAAACCCTTTCCCAGGGTTTTAACCGGAGACCTTCCATATGAAAATATTCTGCCACTGAGATGTGGTCCCTTCTACCTACCCACTCCCCTCCTTTAACAACTCAAAGTTGTCATTGTTGCATGAGTTGTTTGGGTGCCAGGTGAGAAGATTCTCTGGAGGTCTAGAGCTGTTCTTTTCCTCCCCTGCTTCTGCCTCTTTTTCTGGTTCTTGGAATCTCCACAGTTTGCCCTTCCTTTCTTCCCAATGACCAGGATGCGTCTTTCTTGTGGTTGGCTCATCTGAAATCGGGTACTACCTGGAAGTTATTTTCTGCAGTTCCTACTGCAGGATAATTGCAAGCGGGTGTGAAATCATCCCCTCCACAGACACAGCAACTGTACTTTGCAAGAAGGCTTAGGCATGTCTGAAGAATTCACTGTATAATTAACTTAATATGTCTATTCAGAAGTCTTTCTTTGTTTAATGGGGCTTACTCCCAAATACATGGGTACAATATTGCAGCCCTTGCTTTGGTTTAGGGTTGGCCTTGAGGGAAAGTAGGGTTTTTGTGCCTTTCCCAGCTGTGTCAGAGACAGAAATTCAGCAGGTTATTCCTTCTCTAGTATGGAAATACAATGATGGGAAAAAGCTTTACCTGTTTGTATTCTGTCTGTGAGACTTTTTATTATATTTGTGGTCACTGTTTTATTTTGGGGCATTCTACTCCACCCTCAAAAGAGGACAATATTTGCATACTACACAAAGCATATGCAAATTTAATGAAAAGCTGTCCTCAGAGGTGTTGGAGCCTCTGCTACGACCGAGCTGGAAAAGCTCATCCTCCAGTCGAGTCCTTCGGAATCGCCTCCGACGATGATTAATGACCTGAGCCTCTGATAAGGCTCCAGGCATGTTCCCTCATTAAGCAGAGTATTCAGCAGCAGGGAAGGGCGAGAAATTTGAGCTACATTGCAAAGAGTTTGATTTCTAGTTACGCAGACAGAAATGCATACATCCGCTCTCTGTGAAAGCAGAGACCAACTGGAAAACAAAGGAACAGGAAACCAGTAACATCACATCCATCTCCCATCTTCCGTGAGACTTCCAAATGTTGAATGGTCACTTTAAAATGTGAAGGTTCATTATTGCTTCACAAATTGTATATGTCTTTAAGGGCCAGGGAAGATAATGAGACCCAGTCCTGCAGCTGTGTAACATAGCAGGTGCTGCTAGGTTGTGTTAATTAAGCTGTGTCAGCATTTGGGCATAGTATATAAGGAGCAGCACCCAGCTCTCCCATTACCCTGGGGGATGGGTTGGTGGTTGGGTCATGTTTGTTTGTTGATGTATTTGGTGTAAAAGGAGTTTTTGATTTTGTTATTAAAACATTGTTTAAGTTATTTTTTAGTCCCTTTTTAATGCATGGCCACCCCAGCAAGCTCTCTGCAGCGCTATTAAACTGCAAAAAGCCATCACCAACAGCCTGGAATCTCTGGAATGCAAAACAGAGTCTTGTGACTCCAAGCACTGCACAGTGGCAACACACAGAAACCTAACATGAGGACCCAGGCCATATACTGTGTGTTGGGGACAGAAAATCCTGTTGACATGCCTAGGACTCAGTAATTAGTAAATTGAACTGTATATTAGATGCTACAGACTTGGCATCTTGGTGTTTCTGGGACCCTGCATGGGTTCTGTGATAGAGGCTGCATTTTTCATTCTGTCTGCTGCTTTCCCTGCCCTTCTTTCTAAATAAAGGTGTTTCTTTGTTTGTGCTTTTCATACGTCTGTATAATATTGTGACCACGCCTTAGCACCAGGGTGTCCAAATTCAGACTATAGATAGAGATTTACCTTCATTTGGAATCCGTTTGCATATCCCTTGGGACAGAATTCAGGTTTTCCCCATATACCATCCTTCCCTCCATTGGACACAGTGAGGACTGCATTATGTTTTCGGTCTTCTGCATCACAGAGATGGTAGGAGAAGAAGAGGAAGACCACAGCGCTGAGAGGGAGCTCCATGGAAAGTGATCTGCACCAGACCTAGCAGCAAAAATTAATTGGATGAATAACAGCCTTGAGAATTTATTCCTTAGGAATAGTGGCTCTTTCCTCTGGTCCCAAATTTGCATTTTCCTCTGGAGGGAAGTGTGGTTACTTTTGGTTGATGTAGTAAAATCAGTTGATGGCTTTTCTGACTACACCTTTTAATTTCTAACTAACTAAAACATGAATTTCTTACCCACCCTTCACCCTTGCCAAAATGTACAGCCGTACCTTGGTTCTTGAACAGAATCCGTTCCAGAAGCCCGTTCAACTTCCAAAAAAGTTAAAAACCAAGACACGGCTTCTGATTGGCTGTAGGAGCTTCTTGCACTCAATAGGAAGCCACGGAAACCCCGTCGGATGTTTGGGTTCCAAAGAACATTTGCAAACCAGAACACTCACTTCCAGGTTTGCAGCGTTCAGGAGCCAAAACGTTCGGGTCGCAAGGCGTTCAACAACCAAGTTGTATTTCCTATGTCTTGGCAATTTGGCCTTCCTATTAAAACTCCCCCTCCAATTTCTGTTTCTCTTTTTCTTAAGGGATTTCTCTCTCTCTCTCTCACTCACACACACACACACACACACACACACACACACACACACGCCAGTCTCAGGTGTAAGATAGAAGGGAGAAATTGTCACACCTAGGGATGGAAATACAAATTGTCATTTAACTTGAAATAAACACATACTTCCTATCAGCCCCAAATAGCTCAATAAAGTAAAATGATTTAGGGTGAAGACAGGTGTAACATTTAAATAGAATTGACAGGAGACTCCACTCAGCTACCTGCCATCATCACAATTTATTTGGCAGATACTCATACTAGCAAGTAGAAAGCATAAATAAATAAATAAATAAAAGGAGGAAAGTACTTCCGCTACATTTGTCTTTTGCTCCAGCCTGCTCTCGTTTTTCACCTCAAGGGGTGTCCCCTCAGTGCATTCCTGTAAGTGTAATTCTGTGTACCTGTGTGCACTGTAGCTGAGGTGCACAAATCAATCAGTGTACACTTTTTTGACATAAGTGTAGAGAAAGGATACACCTCTGCCCAGTGTAATGTGTGCATAAGCCTAAAGACTTGTGCCTAACTGAAGATGGGTGAGTTTTCCTTACTTCTGTCTCTGACTAATGCCTTAGGCTCTTAGCAGAGCCAATCACCTTCCCACCAACTCTACAGGGAAGAGCTACCCCGTAGCCAACCCATCCTTAAGCATCGTGGAACTTATGGTAGCAAACTCACAGCATTATTAATTCCACACCAGAGCACCAGTTTGAAAAACAGTTGGAAACTGTTCCTAAGAGATGAACCGGCCCTCTTTCCCACAGCTTTGCAGGGCACAGTGAGGAAAACCACTGAGCTTCTGCAGGCACCAGTATTCTGCTGGTCTTACTAAAGTCTGGTGTTGGTGGGAGAGGGATAGACAACACAGAGGGAGTAGATGTATTTCTTCTGCAGAGCTCTTTATAATAGCCATTTTTTTGCTTACACAAAAAAAAGTATTCAGCTTGGGCTAAGTGCCTCCACATCAGAGATGCAGGGGCTTCACTCTAGGAACACAAGAAATTGCTTTATTCCAAGTCAGGCCATTGGTTATCTAGCTTAGTTCTGTCTACACTAGAGCTACTCTCCAAAGTTTCAGACAGGAGACTTCCTAGCCCTACTAGGAGATGCTGGAGGATATACCTGGGACCTCCTGCAACACTGATCTACAAATTAATACATGGAAAGGGCATAGGCTTGCAGCGCCCCTTAGGCCAACCTTCCCCACCCTGGTAAATTCAATATGCGCTGGACTGCAACTCCCATCATCCCCAGCCAGCAAACACGGTGCTGGTTCCAGCTGATGGGAATTGTAGTCCAGAACATCTAGAGATCACAAGGTCGGGGGATGCAGCCATAGATTTGCAACACTTCCAAAGGGATGCATTGTTAAATACCCTGAAATCTTTTGTGAAAAGCGGGGTACACTTTTCACAAAAAGTAGGGCCTAATACCACTAACAAGAATGCTTCACTGGATCCCCACTGGTTACTGGCTACCGATCAGGCCTCTGTAATTCTGACCATGTTGCAACCCTTGTCTTCCCTTACCAAACTTCTCAGAGCAGAGCAATGTAGTTCTACTTACTGTCTCTCAGCTGCCAGGCAGAATGAAAGCATCCTTAAGCCGAGTGAGGAAATATGAATGTGAGCAGGGGATTTAAAGGGGGCGGGACAATGAAGTGTAGGAACTTTCTGTCCTGAGCAACACCTCCTCTGAGCCATCACAAAGCAGAGCATTGGGAAGGCTATGAAATCTTCTTTGTCCTGCCCCCCCCCCCCATTACCAGTGCCTTTAGGAAATGCCTCCACAACCAGAACCCATTTGCCTGTGAGAGTGGGGAGGGCTGTCAGAAGGATGAGGACATCATGTCAGTGCCAAAGACCAGTACTGTGCACTGTGCTTTAGAACAGGATTCGGCAACTTGCTGCTCTATGATCCATTATCACACGCTGGGGGTGATCTACCACCCAGGGATGGGTGCAAGGTGGGCAGGCAGGTATTGGCTGCTTCCCCCGAGGGGGGCAGGGATGGATGCAGGGTGGGTGGCAGGGGTGGATGCAGGGTGGGCCGGCGCCTAGCTGTCTCCCCCCCCAAGCCAGCCCTTTATCTCTCTCCCTCCCTCCCCCCCCAGCAGCTCTCCCCCCCCACAAACCAGTTGGGCTGCGGAGCTGTCCTGTGCGAAACTTCTCCTACCCTGAAATAGTCCTGCAGTGATTTCGTGCTCTTTATTGCTGCTTGTAAAACAGTGATTGAATCCCCCCCCCCAAAAAAAACCCTCGGGCCTTTATATACATTATTTACACAATGAGTCCCGTCTGATTGGCTGATTCTGCTTCCCTCCTGGAGCCTGGTGGGTCTTCTCCTGCAGGCCAATCAGTTGTTGCATTCTACGATCCTACCAGCCTAATAGGTTGATTAACTTCCTCCTGGAGCCTGATTGGTCTTCTCCTGCAGGCCAATCAGTTGTTGCATTCTAGGATCCTACCTGACTATTGTTCTAGGATCCAAGCTTAGTACATAACATACCCACACCCCCAAAACAGCGTGCGATCTCTCTTCCCCCTTGTCAACAGGAGCCACGCAGCTGATGTGGATCCCAATAGCGCCTGCCCTCTCAAGTGGAGGTAGGAAGATATGAGAGCAAAAAGAACAGTGCTGCCTTTTTAACCTGTGGAGGCAGGAACACGAAAACTCAGAGGGACCAAAAAACAATGGAAATGGTTGACAACACAGACACACATTCACTGACTGGGTCCTCAACTCCAAATACCTGACTGTGTGGACTAATGAGGGCAAATTCAAAGCGATAAAATGTGGATTCCTAGTGAGTTACAGCTCAAATGAGGACAAGTCCCAAGACAGATTTTATTTTTACAAGAAACACTTGTTACAGTCCACAGACCTACATTTACTCCATAGCATGTGTAAGAGATAAACATATGCTTCAGCTTATTTTATTTCTTTTTTAACAGTGAAAGAACAGAACAGGCGGTCAACAAATGTATTATAGGAAGATGTCTCTCGTGTGTTTTTCTGTATGAGAGAAATAATCAAAAGGAATTTTGTAAGAGGAAATAACCTATATTCTGTTGTCACAAAATTTGGTTTTCCAATGATTCATAAATGAACTTCATTCCATCTTTCAATAAATTTGTCTGGTGAATGTCTTTTTTATAATATTTTCACTGAGTTTTAATATAACAACAAAAAAGTGAACTGTAACAAAGTATCAAATGACACAGAGAATTAACCAAACATTTTCCCCAAATGTAACATGAGGTTTAGCGTGTGTAATATTTTAAGACTTAATTGAAACAAGAGAATCACTTAGCTTTTTTAATGATCTGGTGCATGTCTACTTCATTATAAGTAAGTTTATGTTGTTGTTGTTGTTGTTGTTGTTGTTGTTGTTGTTGTTGTTGTTGTTTAAAAAAAGCAGTCCACATATGCTTGTAGCAGTTGAAAATTGAAAGAGACCCCAGAGATTTCCAAAATCATGCTATATTCTATCTAAATACAATCGCCTTATCTGATTCAGGGGGAGGGGAATCAGTGACCCTTCCAACGGATGTGTCACTGCTGCTTACAAGGAAGGACTGAAAGAGAAGCAGTCGGCACAGTGCAAACACACCAGCAGGAGTACTGGATTGGCTCTGCCAGTGTGTTTGCACCACACCAAGGTCCCCAGTGACTTGCCCCTCTCCCTTCCAGCAAGCAGCAGCAATTCAGCTTTCAGGAGGTCAGGTAAGCACCACCACTGCACACTGTCATCCTCTGCTGCCAGCGGACGAGGGCTGTGCAGCAGGGTGGCAGATCAGTCACAACAGAACATCCGCACATCCGCACATCATTAAGTCCTGTCATATCAGAACTGTTTTGGTTATCTTCCACCTTTGTTTGGATGCCACATATGAAGCCCGTAGTGCAGTTGCTGCTCCAGGGGCCAAAATTCCCCCAGGATGGAGACTTGCCCTTCAGTGTAGACCCATCATCACACATGAAATGAATGTTATTGGCTGCCGTATCATCAAATATCCCTTGTGGTGGTTCCACACTCATAGAAAAGGACACCAGGTTGCCTCTTTTGCATTTCTCAATCTCACTCCATGATCCAAGCCTGTAAAAAGAAAAGACAACGACGGCAATGTCCAAATTAAAGTTCATACACTGCCCTTTGTCAGAAACATAAACTTACAGATCTGTCTTCTGAAGAAATGATTCCAAATTAGAGCAAAATTCATAGCCTACTCAGTTATTATAACATTCCCCTGCATGCATGCACAATATTCTCTTCCTGTGGCCTTCTGGGGGTGAGGAGTTACTTCTGGGATTAGATATAAACACAAAACTACCCATATTGGTTCCATATTGCAAGTATTTAGTCTCCATTTGCACTGGCATTTACCATTCTTCTGGATGGAATTCTGCCTCCTTTGTAATTGGCGTTTTATACTGAGTCTCTTTCTCTTTCTCTGTCTGCTTCTTTATTTTAACAATGTTTGGGGTTTTGCTGCATTGTGTCAGAAACATAGACCAACACAGAACTAGCACTGTGAAGCCTCATCTGAACTTATTTACCTGGGATTAAGTAGAGATAAGTGAACCTATCAGTTCTGGTTTCTCTCCATTTCATAATTTTTCCAGTCTTTAAGTTCTCATGTCAGTTTTTAATTACCGTATTTTTTGCTCTATAAGACTCACTTTTTCCCTCCTAAAAAGTAAGGGGAAATGTGCGTGCGTCTTATGGAGCGAATGCAGACTGCGCAGCTATCCCAGAAGCCAGAAGAGCAAGAGGAATTGATGCTTTCACTGCACAGCGATCCCTCTTGCTATTCTGGCTTCTGAGATTCAGAATATTTTTTTTCTTGTTTTCCTCCTCCCAAAACTAGGTGCGTCTTGTGGTCTGGTGTGTCTTATAGAATGAAAATTACGGTATTTTTTTAAAGGCGTCATGAAAGATCTGTGAGGATTTCAGTGCAATTCTTCTTATTTAACTAAGAAACTATGTATATATGACTGGGTTGTAATAAAACAGTGGGCTATACCACTGAGTCTCTTGGGCTTGCTAGTTGGAAGGTTGGCAGTTTGAATCCGTGCGACAAGGTGAGCTCCCGTTGCTCTGTAGATAAGTAGATAAATAGGTCCCGCTGTGACAGGAAAATAAACGGAGTGTCCGTATGCTCTGGTGTCCATTGCGCCAGAAGTGGTTTAGTCATGCTGGCCACATGACCCGGAAAACTATCTGTGGACAAACGCCGGCTTCCTCAGCCTGAAAGTGAGATGAGCACCTCACCCCATAGTCGCCTTTGACTGGACTTAAACGTCCAGGGGTTCTTTACCTTTACATTTTACCTTACACACACTCTACCCTAGTATGTGCATTTCAGTACACATTACTTGCCTGGAGAACTGTACTGCAAAATCTGAAGAAGCATGAATTTCACAGGATAGCTGTGTTTTGGTTTGCGTATTGTTTCAGAAAGGATGAATAAAGTAGCTTCGCTTTCAAATGTGAGCCAAACTGAATTTCTCCTCCACTGCTGCCTGTTGGAAGGTTACAGGGCCTGCTGTGGCTGTAGAGACCAATAAGGGCAAGATACGTCTTACTGCAGCTGGGGCAAATGAAAGCATCCGGTTGTGGCGATGCAGATGCTCCATGGTGTTTCTTCTTTCTGCGCTCCTCCCAGTGGTCATTCCCTTTCTGGTCACTGCTATGGATGCACAAACTGACTGTCTGCCTTCAGGCAGCATGGTCATCTGCAAGGGATTCCCATATGGTGGGGTTGATGTTGCCAGCCTTCAGGCCACATTTGCAGACATCCATGTAACACAGAGTTGGTCTGCCAACAAGTCTGGTGCCTGAAGCCAGCTCTGCAAAGAGCACATCCTTGGGAAACCTGCCATCTTCCATTCTGTCTACATGACCAAGCCAGCATAGATGTCGCTGAGACAAGAGCACAAACATGGAGTTGGGCAAACTACCCCTAGCAGTAAGTTCCACTAAACACAGTGGGACTTACCTTTGTGTAGGCATGTATATTTTCCAGTTAAATTCTGTGACAGTTTTGGAGTGTGTCCAAATTACCATTGCCTTTAATCTAGCATGAAATAATTCAAACTACCCAGTGGCAGAGCAACATGCTGCAGGCCCTGGAGTGGAGAACAGGTGGGGGCGTGGCTGGCGCACGTCCCAGGGGCGTAGCATGTTGCCCACAGGGTGCAGCGCGCATACCGGGGGGTGGCACCCTTTCCCCAAATGCTGCCCGGGCCGGTGAGCTCCCCCATCCCCCCTCCGTATGCCAGTGAAACTACCCCTCCTTCTCCTACCCCAAACTCCCAAGCAACAAAGTTATAAAGGAAGAGAAAGCAAAAATGCCACTCACAATCCACTGGTAGACTCTATTGCTTTGCCATCAGTGCAGTGGAGACGGATACCATTCAGAGATGTGTCATCTTTCCAGAACTTTAAAGGAGACTATGGATCTACCTGGTGGAGAACAGAAAAAGAGGCTGCGATTAAAGCTGGTGCTGCAGTCCATGTCTGCAATACTGCCAAGATTTATGCATGAGTAAAGTATCACATTTTCAGTGGGAATTTCCTATGTGCAAGGGCTTGCAATGGCATAGCTAGCTCCACAATGAGCAGTACTAGCTCAAGTCATGTGCACTCAATTGCCCTCAGGTGCTGGTCACATGAGCCAGAAGCTGTACGCCAGCTCCCTGGGCCAATAAAGCGAGATGAGTGCCACAACCCCAGAGTCGTCCACAACGGGACTTAATGGTCAGGGGTCCCTTCACCTTTACCTTTATTGGACATAGATGAGGATTTACATTCACCACAAATGTTAATAACTTTTCCATCAGTGGGACAGAGATGAACAAACAGGGCGGGCAGAATGGGGTGGGGTTAGGAATCTGCCTTTCTGACTTCCGGCTTGCTGCTGTGGGAAATGGCTGCTTCCCACATGAACGGACCCCAGCAATGCCAGTAATTCAGGGTTGATATGGGGGTAATTAGCCTTGGCAAACTCCCCAGGGTGGGGGAGGACTGTCTCACAGACCCACAGATCATCAAGTTGCAAGCGGCAGGGACGCTGGGTCCAAGAGCACGGCACAGATGGTGCTCTCTAGAGCCACTCCTACATGCAGGAGACACCTGTTTTATAAAATAATAAGATTTGGATTTTAAAAACAGGCATGTTCCAGATGGAGGAGATAAAAGGAAAAAACTGCCAAATTATACAGTTGTTGGATGTTGAATTTTAGACTTCAAACAGACTCTCATCTTGAAACATGGATTAAGGAGGTGAGCAACCGCTATCTTTCCGTACTTGTTATATTACATCATGATTTGGCAAAGCTCATCCATAAAGAATTTAATTAGTTAAATGAAACACAAGAGGTGTAAATTTTAATTGAATGTACGATGTACTGCCCTCAACGGACTCTAATTAGAATCAGGGCTGGCAAAATAAGATCAGATATGGCAGCCCGGGCAGAAGACGGAAGCAAAATGGCAATTATTATGGTGCAGTTACAAAAAAAGGAACCCTTATGGAAAAGAGCTTCTTTGGACTTGAGGTGTGCTTCGTTCTAAAATACATCTGTTTGTATGGATTACTTTTATATATGATTGTGGACAGAAATTGTGGACAGAAGGATGGAGAGCGCAGGATCCCTGCCAGCTCTTTCAGGGCCTGGAGGAGCATAGAATCATAGAATCATAGAGTTGGAAGAGACCACAAGGGCCATCGAGTCCAACCCCCTGCCAAGCAGGAAACACCATCAGAGCACTCCTGACATATGGTTGTCAAGCCTCTGCTTAAAGACCTCCAAAGAAGGAGACTCCACCACACTCCTTGGCAGCAAATTCCACTGTCAAACAGCTCTTACTGTCAGGAAGTTCTTCCTAATGTTTAGGTGGAATCTTCTTTCTTGTAGTTTGGATCCATTGCTCTGTGTCCGCTTCTCTGGAGCAGCAGAAAACAACCTTTCTCCCTCCTCTATGTGACATCCTTTTATATATTTGAACATGGCTATCATATCACCCCTTAACCTCCTCTTCTCCAGGCTAAACATGCCCAGCTCCTTAGCCGTTCCTCATAAGGCATCGTTTCCAGGCCTTTGACCATTTTGGTTGCCCTCCTCTGGACACGTTCCAGTTTGTCAGTGTCCTTCTTGAACTGCGGTGCCCAGAACTGGACACAGTACTCCAGGTGAGGTCTGACCAGAGCAGAATACAGTGGCACTATTACTTCCCTTGATCTAGATGCTATACTCCTATTGATGCAGCCCAGAATTGCATTGGCTTTTTAGCTGCCGCGTCACACTGTTGGCTCATGTCAAGTTTGTGGTCAACCAAGACTCCTAGATCCTTTTCACATGTACTGCTCTCAAGCCAGGTGTCACCCATCTTGTATTTGTGCCTCTCATTTTTTTGCCCAAGTGCAATACTTTACATTTCTCCCTGTTAAAATTCATCTTGTTTGTTTTGGCCCAGTTCTCTAATCTGTCAAGGTCGTTTTGAAGTGTGATCCTGTCCTCTGGGGTGTTAGCCACCCCTCCCAGATTGGTGTCTTCTGCAAATTTGATCAGGACGCCCTTGAGTCCATCATCCAAGTCGTTGATAAAGATGTTGAATAAGACCGGGCCCAAGACAGAACCCTGTGGCACCCCACTAGTCACTCTTCTCCAGGATGAAGAGGAACCATTGATGAGCACCCTTTGGGTTCGGTCAGTCAGCCAGTTACAAATCCACTGAGTGGTAGCATAGTCAAGACCGCATTTTACCAGCTTCTTTACAAGAATATCATGGGGCACCTTGTCAAATGCCTTGCTGAAATCAAGGTAGGCTACATCCACTGCGTTCCCTTCATCTACCAGGCTTGTAATTCTGTCAAAAATGAGATCAGGTTAGTCTGACATGACTTATTTTTCAGAAATCCATGCTGACTATTGGTGATCACAGCATTCCTTTCTAGGTGCTCACAGACTGTTTGCTTAATGATCTGCTCCAGAATCTTCCCTGGTATTGATGTCAGACTGACTGGGCAGTAATTATTTGGGTCCTCTCTTTTCCCTTTTTGAAAATAGGGACAACATTTGCCCTCCTCCAGTCTGCCGGGACTTCGCCTGTTCTCCAGGAATTCTCAAAGATGACTGCCAGTGGTTCTGAGATCACATCTGCCAGTTCTTTTAATACTCTTGGATGCAGTTCATCTGGCCCTGGAGACTTGAATACATCTGGGGAGGGTCCTTTTGTTCTTGGAGGAATTTAAATAATTTCCACATAATTCACAGCTGGGAAGTCTGCCCCACAATACAGCATTATATACAGACATATACGGACATCAGGTCATTAAGAGACATCCGAGAGAACTTGTTGACTTGCCATTTATAAACTTTACTTTTGGAACAAAGCCCAGTGCCTTTAATGAGAACTTGACGAACAAAGGAGAGATAAGAGGACTGAACACCAAAATAATTGGACAGAGAACAAAATGAATAAAAAAGTATCTCCTGTGGGTTAACAATGCAAAACCTTTGCGACAGAAGACGTGAGCCACAGAAACAACAACTGATGAGATTGACAATAAGGATGGACAATATTAGTTTCAAATTTGAAAAATAGCCAAAAATGCAGAGATATGAATGATGATGATGATCTCTAGACATCTGGAACATGGGAAGCCCCCCCCCCAAAAAAAAACTATAATTGGAATATATAATTGGTGATATTGTTATTATTGTAATTTGGATTGATTTGATTTAATTTGTTATTAATTAGAAGATTGTTATTGAAAATGAATAAAATCTTTAAAACCCCCCCCCAAAAAATGAATCCACCTTTCATGCAACCTGCAGACAGTTCAATACAACCCAGATGAGTCAACATTATGTTGGAATGAAGTTACATGGCTTTAGTAGAAATGTTATAAGGAATTAAGTACAAATAGATTAATAGAGTATTAAAGGGAAAAATAAGGTTAGAATGAGTTAAGATAATTATAGGATAGAAAACAGAGGAAGATGGAAAGGAATTGCTGAAATAATTAACAGAAGTGGAATACAAAAAGGGAGGTGTGAGGAGGTTGTGGAAATAAGTGAATGTAAGATGGGTTAATGAAATTGTTTGATTTATTTTATTGTTTTTGTTGTGTTTTTGTTAGTCTAATGCATTGTATTGTATTTTTTGTTTTTTGTTTTTTGTTTTTTCTTTTAGTGTTTAAATTTTTTGGAAAAGCAATAAATATTATTTTTTAAAAAAACAGATGAGTCAACATTATGAGAAATGTAACAACTCTGTTGGCTTATCTAAAACGGAATCCCTGAAGGCCTGTTCCTACAGTATGTCTCTATATTATTCAGGAGGTTTCCTCTGTTTGGAGGTGTAATATTGAAGTGCCAAACTAGGGCCCAGCCATAACTGCTCCTTGGTTTAACACCCCCACCCACCCACAAACAGTAGCAGATTGTGAAAATATGGGTTCCGCGTTACTGATTTTTCAGGGGGCTGAGTCTTCAAAATGGTAATAAATGTTCCCTGAGGCCTTACTGGTAACAGTTATGGTAATACTTTTTGTCTCATTTTCCCTTCTCCCTTCCCTCTTTAGTAGTAGTGGGACTTCCTCTGGTGGACACAAAATTCATAGCCACCATTTTCCCTCCCAGAATGCCCCTGGGAAAATCCTATAGCATGGCATGAAGACATTTAAGAAGCAGGCAGGGGAGAAGGATATCTGCTGGCTGGTGGCCGATGAAATTTGCTGTTAAAAGAAGCAGCAATAAACCAGGCTTGACGTGGGCTTCTGCCACCAGATTAGTTTGGAGTTGCCATTCTTTACTGAATCCCTTTTTAGGGAGGATCCAGACAATATTATTGTCCGCTGGGGTTTTCAAAAAAGTTATTATTTTTATTTCCCCAAATTGGATTTATCATGATTTTTTTCCAAACGTTAAAGTATAACAGTGGTGTCACTTTTTCAAATGTGGACCTACAAGGAGCTGTTAAGACTTCTCGGAGCTTCTATACTTGTAATCAAAAAGTTCCTGCTTGCATTTCCTCTGCTTCTGTTTCTTCATCTTGAGTGTGGCAGGAGGGTTTTATTTTGAATTTGTAAGGCCTTCTACATGAAAAGCATATGGTTCGCCACTGAGTTTGATCCCTTCCACCTCCATCCTCCCCTCCAATAACAGTTTTGTTAAGATACTGCCCTCATTGCACAGGCTGGCCATGAATTTTAAGGTAAGACCCATACTGGTAAACCAGCAAAGCAAATGGACAATACAAAAAAAGATACCTTCAGTGAGAAGCCAAAAGCATATCCTTCATGACAGAACACTGTGTTACCCCAAGTGCCCCATTCTCCTCCATTTGGCACTGTAAGCACGTCGTGATATTTCTGGGCTTCTGACTTCCAGAGGCAACCAGAGAGGGTCAAGAAGAGCACAGAGCTGATGAGG